GAGGCTTCCCCCGACGCCGTAGGGGAGCATACCCGATGTGCGCAGGACGGGGGCGCAATTGTAGCTGTTTGAGCAGTTTTGTTTGGCCTCGGTTACTTCTTTATTGCTTGCCAGGGATACAAAGAAGCCGCCCATACTACGTGCTACGCGTTCTGCGTGACCATGTGTACCGTTGCCACCGTTTGTTATGTTGTCACCCTATCACCGCGGTGAGGTGGTACATGACAGGGATTGAAAAGATCATTTCTATAAAAATCCCGAATTCAGTATTCTAATTGTATCGAGGGAAAAGAAGTCGTAAAAAATCCGCAGTAACTATGCAACAACCTAATCGCACTAGTTTTGGGAACCTCTCTTTGTCATCGCCGCCAAGTACTGCAAGAAAATGCCAGACGCATAGAATTTGCTTCAGGTGATGTATGTGGGCGATTTGGTTGGCTTCTACGTTATTCCGATGCTCCTGAACATTGTCATTTATGCAAAAATCGCCATCGTTCTAAGTCAATGCGGCGACAAAATGAAGGGCAAAGAGACAGGTGATTTATCCTTATTACATATGAGAAAAAATATTTCCAGAAAACTAATCTAGTTTACATGCTACTTATTTCAAGTCAGAGATCGTTAAATTTGGCTTCTGCCTCGAGGTTGGTAGGTGGAAATATTTATTCTGACCGACGTTTCGACGGACTCGTCGTTTTCAAAAGCCTGAAAGTGGTTCAAAGCTTCTTGATTGTACGCTACCCCACCAAGCGCCTCTTCCGTTCTAGCGTTTCTGACGTTATATCAGGAATGACCGAAATTCAAAAGATAAGCTCACCTTACTTCCACCGCTAAGTGTAGCCACGCTACACGGTTAGTACAATAGTAGCGAATGATCTTAGTCTGCTGTCCTCCTTATGCAATAACATTATTGCGGATCAGCCGTTCGCGGATTATGGAACAAACTCGCAGTGTTGCATAAATGGCAAGAGATCATTTGTGACGGTCACACACTCCTTTCGGTTATTCATATCTGGATTTCTAGCTAAAATCGGAAATATCGTCGAGGAAAGCGCTTCCAACGCTTTCCTCGACGATATTTCCGTTTCGTGAGCCAATATCGTACATTTGATGTTAAAGTCATTTCCACCATGCTGCTCCACTCTGTGTTTCCCTAACAGAGTTAACACATTATTGCGCCGTTTACCATGCTCTTTTATTCGTACTGACAAAACTCTTCCGGTTTCCCCTATGTAGCTTGAATTACATGTCTCACATTGAATCTGATAAATTACGCCTACAGAAGCGCAATCTCCATCTTTCCCGTTTGGACACGTAACGCACCTCTGTCAAGAACCGCTTGTCATAGAGTCTGTTCCGCACAAGTTGGTGTTTGATGCTATTAGGCGGGATGTTAACTAGAATAACATCATCGCTCAATTGTGCCCAACAATACACCGTTGTCTTGCAGCAGATACCTTGTCAGAGATGAATGGTGAACATAGAGGAAGTTTGTTTTGATGCGAAGTGTTTCTCCTGTCAACGTGGAATCTTCCAATGTTCCCATGTGGTACCGCCATTCGACCGAGCTATGGCTGAAGCTAATCGTCTTGTTTCTTCGCGTTCGGTCATACCACTGCACATGCGCGTAGCTGTCCTGTACATATTCCTGATAACAGCACGTTTGACAGCAGACGGATGCGCAGAAGTAGCGTGAGTCAAGATTTTTTTCGAGCTTCTTTTCCGGTGCCACTTAACGTGTACGATCCCGCTAGACACTTTGATTTGAGTGTTTAATAGGGAACCAACCATCTTTTGGTATCTCTCGTGTGAGCCTGATGTACTGTGACTGCTCACTCATTATACGGAAAAACTCGTCCATTTCGGGCTGTGTTGTAGTTACAATGCAGCAGTTATTTATATACCTGCAGTACATCAACGGTGAGCGTGCCAGTACTGGTTCCTCAACTCTGCTCATGAANNNTCAGACAGCGCCTGTCGGGCTTGCTCATTTTGGATGTTGGTGTAAAGCGAGGTAACGTCAAATGACTCTATTGCGCAACTTGAACCGAGGCGCAAGTTCCGCACTTGTTCAAGGAATTGGTTCGTATTGGGCAGGTGTGAGGGGACCTTGGTCAACAATTGACTTACAGTACAGTTTAAAACCCATGAAATTCTATCTGCAAGTTTGTGGGTTTCCATCAGGCTGTAAAATACAGGACAACTTGGAGAATCGAGCCTGAGTCTACAAAGGAATTTCTCATCAAGACCTGCGGATTTGCCTTCTTTTGAACCACTTTCAGGCCTTTAAAAACGACGATTCCGTCGAAACGTTGGTCTGAATAAATATTATTATAATATTTCCATCTACAACCTCGAGGCAGAAGCAAAAACTAACGATTTCAAGAACAACAGACATACCGAGGTTCAAAGATGAGAGAACATGGAGTTTAAGTCAGAGAATTTCATGGTTCCACAAAAATTTTCAAATTGGCAAAGAAGTTGAAAGCAGTTGCTGAATGCAAATATCTCTGGAAGGGTGTAACTTGAGTTCTGGAAAGTGACGGGTTCTCACTGAACAAAAATGAGGCAAAGCAATGAGTTCTAGTTTTTGAAGATTTGAAGAGGAGAAGTAGAAGAAATATTTCAGCAGAGATTTGCAATGGAAACTGCACACAAGGTACTCCAAAAGATTTAAGAAGATTTCCGAGAACTTATTCTGGAAAGATAATTTTGTTCAGTTAATCAAGCCGGTAGCTTGCTGCCAACACAAGTAATGACGGAGACAAAAGTCAGCCATATTACCGGTAGGCGAAGTTCATCCAAAGGACGTAACCAGGTACCATTCTTTGAACTTCTTTTTGCCTTATTTTGCTTAGAGAAGGAGTTATTTCGGTAATAAGTTTTCAGGTTGTGAAAATGTTAGCGTTGGTGGTCTTTGTGTTCGCTACCTGCTGGCTACCATATCGAGCTATGGTGGTGAACAACTCGTTCCGTGACGAAAAATGGAACTCAGACGGGTTCGTTTTACCTGATGATCGCGAACTTTTGTCTCGGAATCAGACTTGAAGACTATCTGTATATATTGGTTTCAAGCTTTTAAAATTACAAATTTGTTTTGCTTGTATAAGACACACGCCAGAAAAAGAGAACGCCATCCTTTTCGTACTCGGTGAATAGGAAACAAATGGAGATATTCACTCAAATCGATTGAGTCACAATTACATCTTGACGATACTACGCCGAGTTTGTCATATAAGAGTAATTGGTAAGATTTTAGCCAACCGACTTTTGACTAATCATTCTGGGACTGAGGTTCATTTGAGTTGTTCAAAAACTTCTCTTTGAAGCTTCTTGTCGTTTTCTTAGGTTCGTGCAGAGTAATGACTATTCCCCAACAGTCACTTGGAAACGCTATGGACCATTACTCTCCATCTCTTCGCGTTAGAGCTTCCATAAATCTCGGCATGGTTGTGGATTGATGTTAATTTCGCTTAGAACTTCCTCGAGGTTTGCATGAAAATTTTTATTAGCTAGCGTTTCGACATATCGCCTTCCTCAAGGCGATATGTCGAAACGTTAGCTAATAAAATTTCTATACAAAGCTCGTGGGAGTTCCAAGGAAAATTAACATCAATTCACCATTATCCCTTATCCCTAATCTTTTGGAAGGTTGCCGAGTACAATAAGGAACTACATATAACTATAGCTGAAATTAGACCTCGGCTGAACTTAGAAACACGTCCTGTGGAAAGTTTTTTAGAAAGCCAGATTTGATCCTCCCATCTTACTACTCTAAAATTCCATAGATAAGAGCGGTTGAAACCCCCGGTGAAAAATGAATTGGAATGAAATTGAAATTGAATGCACTCACCCTCTAACTTGATGGATGGATAAATTAAACTTCGAAGAAGAAGNCTTCTTCTTCGAAGTTTAATTTATCCATCCATCAAGTTAGAGGGTGAGTGCATTCAATTTCAATTTCATTCCAATTCATTTTTCACCGGGGGTTTCAACCGCTCTTATCTATGGAATTTTAGGATAAATGATTGCAATATCCATTTTCGACGTTACATTCGCCTTTCATGGTCAAGATCGATTACGAGATGTCGTGCAGAGCACGGTGCTCAAATCGATGGCCTTATCGATGCTGAGGACCTTTGTTCTCTCTTTTAACGATACAATCGCAGGGGCAACTCACTGCACTTATCAATTATAATTTACTATTAAAAACGCTGCTTCACTTTCCCAAGCAGAATAAATCGGTTTCTTCGAAGAGATACAATCATAGTTCACATTATTAACTGTCATGCAGACGACGCTTAGCACTATAACCTTCAGGAGTTTATGATTTTTCTAGTTTTTTTTATTTTTAAGGACTAATTTCGTAGTTGAAGTGACAGTAGCTCCACTTAGACATGTGCGGAGTGTTTTTCTTCAAACCATCTGAACACTTGAAATTCTTAGATGCAGCCTAACCATAGTTGGAGGTCCATGCACCTAAATTGCAAGGTGATCTGACTCGCTCCGTGATCAACGCTATGAATAAAAGGGGCACATGTTCCAACTGAAGTCTCGAAGAGCCCCAGAAAAAATGTGGGATTCTTCCAACCTCTTATCCTAAAAATTAATCTTGTCATCCTCTCTCAGGCCCATCTCGTTGAATTTGACCTAGATGGGTCAAAATAGGGAAAATATTTGTTGAATTCACCAGGCAGACAACTTTAAAGGTATATTATAGCTCTATTAGAGTCCACCAAGTTAACGTTTTTTTCAGATATATCTTCTTTTCGAAGACGATGATCTTCATCAACTGCGCAATCAATCCAATTCTCTACAACTTGATGTCGGCACGATTTCGTGGAGCCTTTCGCAATCTCTTTTATGGCAAAGGTTCCATCAATCAGAAACATCGTACGTGGTTTTGGGCTTTTTTTTGTGATTAATTTTCTTTCTTTCTGAAGGAAACACTCTGTTTGCGATGACACAGTTTGTACATAGTGCCCTCTTCTTGTCCCATACTAAAATGTTTGCTGGGATGGGTATCTAAAAAGGTAAACTGATGACCCTTGGAGACTTACCGCGAGTCGCTTGTTAGATGACGTTCTGAGAGGCTCGCACGATGCAAAAAAAAAAGATTTTGTTTTTTCTTCATAGCATGCAGATTAAATCACTCTCACCTGAAAGGATGAATGCCGAGGGTGCATTGAAGCAGTGGTTCTTCAGTCGCCGATACACTGAATTCGGTGCCTCTAATCAATCTTGCAAAAGTACAAAAAAAGCGAACACTTGCGGCATTATCTCTAGATTGGAAGTGAGGCGAAGAGTGACCGTTACCAGCTTTTATGCGCAGAATGACAAGTGCGACTTTCGCTTTGTAATATTATGGGAACACAGAGTCACGTTTCATCTCCAATGAAGGAATGAACTAAGATGAAATTTAATGCGCTTTTTGAAGTTGATTATCAAGTTTTTTTTAATTTGCACTCGTTGTATTTTAGAGCGTACTGCAACAATGTCCACGCATAACCGATGTGCCACGATTGAACGAAGTGATGGGAGAAAAAGAAGTGATGAAACAAAAAATGAAGCCTTATACACAGCTGTTTAATTGCAATCGGTGCACCCCTTGAGTCTTTTATGTATGTACCATATTGTATTGCTCAGAATTGCTCAGTTCTACAAATATGAGCCATGTGTGTGACCTTTTGAGATGGCGGCTTCCTGCGGCTTTTAAGATGGCCGCTTCCTGCGGCTTCTCTCCTACTAGATGAGAAAAACTATGCAGATCTTCAATAGATAGGTATTTCTCTAAGACCATTTCACTTCTCACTAAATTCGTATTCTATCTTTAGAAGATCAACCACTGTAATACGGAATTTTTCTTTTTGTATTTTAACGTCTAGTGGACGGTATTTTGTTGTAGTCGCCTTTCAGTGCATTGCCTTTGAACGGGTGTTTTCTCAAGTTTAGCTATTAATATATGTATGAAGTTGTGACCCTTCTACTTTTCTTCGCTCCCCTTCTTATTAACGCTCGAATTACACGTGAAGCGGCTGTGACTTTCGCTATGCTCGAGCTGCTAAACTTGAGCCTGCCTGCCGCTTAAGTTAAACATAAGCAGACTATTAATTCAGCGACGATAACCGATGACGATAACCCCTTCCTCTAGGGTTGTAGCGCTAGCTCTACAGCCGCGTCACATTATCCAATGTTCTTGTATAAGTGTTACGCAGATGATGACGGGTTTTGGGTCCCTCGAATGGACCCTCGACCTTTGAAGTATCTTTTCAATGAATGTTCGATTTGATGGTGCAGCGAAAGTGTTGATCGCCTGGAAAACAAAACTATCGACAGACGGCGGAGGTGGTGTAGAGCTAAGTAGCGCACCATCTCATCCGCGCAGCCACGAGTTCGTATTATTATCGCCCTCCATTCAGAATCGTAGTGATTTGAATGCTTACGAGGCCTTAGGCCACATACGCATTTAAAACGTCATCATGATTCTGAATGGAGGAAAGAAGGGCGGTAATAACATCTTGCCGTTTTCCTTGAAAAGATGAAAGGGGATTAATCTCGGGTGCTGATCAGTCCTGCGTCCGACTAACGTTCAGAATCATAGTGGCGATTTCGTATTACGATATTGGTGCGCATATGGGCCATACAATGGTTTGCGATAGCTAGCCGATGTTCAAGTCAATGATTCATGAGAGCCGAGAGGGACACCAGTTGTCCGAATCCTAAGGGATGGAAGGCTTTGTCTCACCTTACATGAGAATCAGTATTCTTTAAGTAGCCGTTACTCAAGAGGACGGAGAATCGCTGTGAAAGTTTGAATACATGAGGGTCTAACTACAGCTACAGATTGAAATGAAATTTTGTTACAATGGGAGTTCTCTTTCGTGATAGAATGCTAGTTTACAAGCGTAGCTGAAATTTGCAGCAGAGTTTGACCTATTGACCCTTTGACGACGATGGCACCCACCGGTGGTACCACTATGACTGGCACATGCGACAAAGGCAACCGATGTTGCTCGCCATCATGTTTTTTTGTTTCCTAGCACGTTTTAAACTCATCGTTCTTTCATACTGTTAACAAACCCCACAGTATTTGTATTCAAATTGGTCCATATGGATGTTTTATGAAAGTTTATTAATGACAAGCACATATAGTTAATAGTGCACTTCTGAAAAAAACACCTGGGTCTTCTGCAAGCTTTTACATCCTCAAAGCATTCTGAACAGTAGAAGCCCAATTCAAGATCATATAACTGCCCGGTCGGCCTCAGCATTGTGGAGGCAAATAATCAATAGATCCTAAAGGTATTGAATGTAATACGTGTTCCTATCACGCTCATTATTTCCAAAATCCTATCTTACATTGATTCTAAACCGGAACCTTTTTAAGCCTCAATCATATCTAGTGGATGAAATGAGATCCTGATCCTCCTATCATACGGAAGACATTGCTAAATTCAGTGAACCAGTAAAAAGACGTTTTCTTTGGACAATGAAGCCCACCTGTGGGTGCCAGCCGCGCACGAAAGAGAAGTCCTATGAGCGGGGTCCGGGAACTTCTCCCCTAACACGGCGTCGCACACGCCGCACCCACCGCCTATCGCAGGATTGCGATGGAAGATTGGAGCGCGCAATTTGTGAGGTAGGGAGTCCTTTAATTATTTGAATTGGCTGGCCGCTCTTTTCAATTCCAATGCGGTCTTGATCGTCGTTCATATAGGAGGAGTCATTTTAATTAATCAAGTCTAATAAACATGAAAACTAAAAAGAAACAGAAGAAAAAACGATAAAATCCAATGAAAAAGCAAGCCAGTTAAGGAAAAATATCGCGTCCTATCGTTTGGTGGGTGAGTATGGTAATTGCAGTGACATTTCCGCATGCCGCAAGGGAGAATGCCGCGTTAGGGGAGAAGTTCCGTTACCCCCCATGAGCGCACTACGTCGAAAAATGCATTGTCGTCAAATGGTTAATTGAATACATGTTAAATATAACTTGCCGAAAGATAGCTATCAAAAAATGCAAGCTTCAGCTTTTAGGGGGTTCCTATAGTTGTCTGCTCTGTATCTCGACTGGAAATGCTACGCAATAGCACCCACTTTATAATAAGCTATTTGTCTCAATACTAACTAGTGAAACAGCTTCCCCGCTCAAGAACATTTGTCAAGAGCTCTCAGCTGCTCCTTTTTTCGTTGCGACCTTGCTGTTTTCTTTATATTAGAACAACTCATCGGCTGCGAGATTGAATTAAGAGACTTTGCAGTTATAACCTTCACGCCACCGAACTTAGTCTATATAGTTAGTGAATTTCGTAGCCTTTGAGTAATATGTAATCTATGATGTGTACGGGATCTTGCCGCATGATGAAAGGCTTCTTCGAACTTTGAAAAGCTTCCTAACCTTTGATGGCTTTCGCTTTTCTTTAATGGGAGGGCCAACTGAAACGACACATCTTCAATGGAATGACTGCTGAGTATTAATATTGATTCGAGTGAGGATTACTTAAAGTAGCATGTTTTTATGTTCTTGATAAGATTTGGACATGAAACCATTATATGTGTGTGTTATACTCATCTTCAGCAATGCTGTTGAGTGTGGTCAGTGAGGAAGGTTTCACGTTCATAAGCAGCATGCAATCAAAGTTCTTGTATCCAAATACTATACATTACTTAGTGTGTAGCGAAGATAGATACAAAGTGCAGGATGTATTTGCAGAAGATTAAGATGTAAAAGCTTTTTAGAGTGAGAAGGGACTCGCTTACCTTGTATATCCTGTAAATATCCAGCAACCCTCCATAAAAAACGTATGTGTTGGAGCTGGGCGATATCCTTAACTTCGTGCTAGAGAAATAAGTCCTGAAGCTAATTTACATCGAATTCGGCAAGATCATCGTTATGGAGATCGCGTCAACTTTATTGTCTCTTGGTGTTGCATTTTGAACTACTGAGCGGTGTTGCATGTCCAAAAGATTTTCCTGTACAATATCGAATCAAAACTGGCTTCGGCAGCTAATGGAGTAGCCATTTCCGTGAAACAAACCCTAGAGATGGTAGGCGATGAGTTGCGAATCACAAATCGCAGGGGAGGTATCCTTTTATGAGCTTGCACAGATGGATTGGGTAGACCATGTCACCCATAGCCGGGCACCCCAGCAACTACCTGCTGGCTATCGATCTCCTGTGATTGTCACTTCAATCGGTTGTAGTTGTAAGATACTTATTATGTGTGTCATTGATCAATTGAAAGAAAGCATTTGATTAGGGAGTTAACTGCAATTCGAACTTGTTGCGTTAGGCATAAACAATCTGTTTAATAATGAAAATTCTTTTCCATGGCTTATTCATATTTCTCAAACTTATGAACTCTTTTTTCTGCAAGTAATCCCCTGCATTCACAAGTTCCTTATTGTTGTTAGTTGTTTCCATTTTCTTCCATCTTGCTATCCTCTAGTCTGGCTTTGGTTTCGGAAGTGTCTTTCTTGATCACTTTCCTTCTTTTCTTCAGATTTCAACATGATAACTTCTTGAGCTTCGAACCTTATTGCTAAGCTGTGAGATGTACGTAATGCCTGCCTTGGATCTATTGTACATGTCCTTGGCAAGGGATAGTCGATGTTTTGAAAAGTTTCGTTCGTGGAGCACTTCCCAGAGCAACGTTCGCGGTGGCAGTCCAATTCCTTCTTCAAATGAAGTAAAGCTAGTGAGCAGGGTATGCACTTTTCCTGGCATTTCTCTAATACACGTCTAGCCGTAAAATTTGCAATTTACGTTGTAGATTTCGTACAAGCGATTGCAAGTATCAGCAAGATGCATGTGGACCACCTCACGACTACAGAAATGAAATCGAGTGGAAGTGAAATCCTGATATTGGAACGGGTGAGTTTATTTGTTGTTTTCAAAAAGTTCAGCTGTTGGGAAGGTGCTAAAGAAAAGCTTCCCTTCACGGCAGCCTCCTGCTTGAAAATTGCAAGAGGATGGTTTCTTCGTGGATCTCCCATCATAGCTCCCTTAAAAAACTCTGCATTGTAAGAAAACCGACTATAGGGATCGTTTTTTTTTTCCTTCTGAGGGAAATTACGAAGAAAACATGAAAACTACAAAAAGTCTTCACTTACACATATTTATTGATCGCAAACAATCGATGCATGAGATCTAGCTATCAGATCCTGTACAATTTACAACCGTAATCAATGGGGGGTGTGGTAGGGGAGACTCCTGTTGGTTCGGGAATGTATTTTAGCTGAACACATGGAATTTCGTGAACGGCTGGTAAAGCTGGAAGGGTTTGATGGTGACACACAGCGGACTCGTTTCATCACGATTCGATTCGGCACACGTCGTCGTCAAACTGTGAAAGGGGAAGATAATCTATATGAGTGGATATGAAAGGGGTATAATGGTCATATCAATGGTCTCAGCGTGCAAGACGTGCAGCAAGTCGCTGTACTTCGCACTCGTAGCATTCGGCATTATCCAACGCCTCGGCTTCCATATTGTGGCCAAAGTAGCGAAGAGCGGATACTGCTTGGGTTTTTGGTAGCTCGAATAATCGCTCAAACAGCAGCACGGCATACTGATGAAAATCGCCTACAGCGTGATATTGGAGGAGCTGAAACGAAAAACGGTGCGTCAAAATTGGAAGTATTTAACAGTGTGACTGAAAGTGCTATAGATCGAACCGATCATACCGGTCTTTTGCAAGTGTAGTAGCAAAGGGGGCGTCTTATGCCCAGGGGACGTGCGTCCGAGGACGCGCGCGGCAACTTGCGCGGCAAAGTACGTGACGGTTTGTACGACTCTGGCCCCAATTTTCGTGGCTTAATCTCGAAGTAGAGTAGTTTAGTAGGGTCCGATGATCCTTCTAATCCATTTACTTCAAATTTCGGCCTAAATGATAGGCGCTAGAGTCATTCGAATCGTTACAAACTTCGCCGCGTAATTTGCCGCGCGCATCCTCGGACGCCCCTCAGTCCACATACCCCTTATGCCCAGTTCAGAGCCGTAGTTGGTCACTTCCAAACTTGTTCTCTGTTCAGCTACGTTCATCGTATGGCTACCGAGCGGAAAAATTCTGGTCAGTGACTTGATGTTATGATTCGTACATATAATTCTAAACTGGAATGATTAATGGAACCGTGAGCTAGCTTCTTCATATCGGTTGCATAAAGGTAGTAGCGCCGACCTAAGCTAGGTGGAATGAACTGAGAGATGATAGAATCTTGAGTATTTATCATACCATTCTGGAGGAGGCTATGTTTGAGGGATAATCTTACTCTGTGATTTTTTGAGAACATTCTTACACTGTCACTTCTTCTAACTTCCCCTTCCCTGTGTGTATGTGTGTATGTGTGTATGTGTGTGTATGTGTGTATGTGTGTATGTGTGTATGTGTGTATGTGTGTATGTGTGTGTGTGTGTGTATGTGTGTATGTGTATGTGTATGTGTGTGTATGTGTGTGTATGTGTGTGTATGTGTGTGTAGGTATGTGTGTATGTGTGTATGTGTGTATGTGTGTATGTGTATATGTGTGTATGTGTGCATGTGTATATGTGTGTATGTGTATATGTGTGTGTATGTGCACGTGTCTAAGTGTGTATGTGTGTATGTGCGTATGTGTGTATGTGTGAATGTGTGTATGTGTCTATGTGTCTAAGTGTGTATGTGTATATGTGTGTATGTGTATATGTTTGTGTATGTTTATGTGTGTATGTGTGTATGTGTGCATGTGTGCGTGTGTGTATGTGTACATGAGTATATGCATGTCTATGTGTGATATGTATGTGTCTATGTATGTATGCATGTGTGTGTTGTGCGTGTGTGTATATGTGTGCGTGTGTGTATGTGTGTATGTGTGTATGTGTGTGCGTGTCGGTGTGTGTGTCTGTGTGTGTATGTGTGTATGCGTGTGCATGTGTGTATGTATGTGTGTGCGAGTGTGCATATATGTGTGTGCATGTGTATATGTGTG